TCCTTCAAAGAGCAGACAAAGGCTTATTCCTTTCATGTAGGGAATGAGATGGAAGGAGGCACTACTTAGCTGGATCATTCTGCATGTAAAGGCATTGATTCTGTACCCTCAGTCTGAAATATTTCAATCTCATTGCCCCTACTTTCCAGGAGAGCATGATAGCCATGAGTCTATGGATGCTAGAGAATGAAATCATCAGTTCAACATGTTGAAGCATGAAGAACAGGCTTAGGGGCACAAGATTCAGGAGACACAAAAGCTAGGGAGTGAGACAGAATTATAATTTTTTATCCTAGTGGCCAGTCACTGAGTGACATGATCACTTCAATCACATCTCCAAGAACCTCTTATATGATTTATCAAATAGAAGCTTCCATATAAAATTTGGCAAGGCTCAGAGCTTCCTTCTCCCTGATGAGTGTCATATGTGAAGCTGCTTATGAATTCATTTCCGTAGGGCAGTAAATCTTCAGAAAGAAAGATGAAGCCCATTCCATACTAGCTGGCTAGTAGAAGCTAGAATACTAACCTTGGAAGTCCAAGGTTTGGATATGAATCCTGATACTGAGGAAGTCCTAGAGCTATGTGCCACATCTCAGGTAGGAGCATTATATATAGAAATGCTATATCTGTAATGCTCTATATTATACACAGAATGCTATATATACACATATATAGCATTATTATAGAAAGAGGAGTAAAAGAGCAGTTCTTTCTGTTTGAGCTATTTATTTATTTTTTTTTAAAGAATGGGTGTAAAATTGATATACTGTGATTAAGTTTGTCAATTAGGGTGTCTCAAGTGAAAAATGCTATTTAAGAGCTCTTGAGTGGTCTTTGGTGAGAAAGGTGCTGCATTGCTCATCTCTGCTGTGACAAGAACAGAGCTAGCGATATATCACAAGCAAGACATTAGATTGCTGGAAACTTTACTAGAAGCAACCAATGACAGCTAAAGGCTTTGCATGCTATGGAGTTAGATGCACATGCTGAATATTGTCCTTCCTGGTCTCAGATACCTGATTTATGGGTCTCAAAAATTTTCTGTCTATGAAGGGAGCACGGGGTTCTTCTGAGGCTAAACATTTTAAGATCATGAAATACTCACATCCATTGGTGTTATAGACTGCAAAGAAATTCCTGAATCCCTTCATCTAACTGAAAAGAATCACTTTCTGTGCAGGATTAACAGTTTAATCAGAATGTCAGTGAATATCCACATCCTCCTTCAAATAGAACTGTCTGAGGAAGGACAGTCTTATCTGAAATATGACTACAATTGGAAAAAAAAAAAGGAATTAAATTAAAAACTAGGATAAACCAAAGAAAATGGTGTGCAAGTTAAAGCTGATCAAGAGAGCTTTTTGTGCTAAAATGCTTTGCATAAATGTGTGTCCTGGTCATTACCATGGTAACTGCATGGTGTGGAACTTAAGTTACCTCTAAGGTACTGAAATTTATTGAAAGAGCACATACAGCATCTTCTTACTGTAGAAAGCATAACCTTCTATTCAGTAGGCTGGTGCTTTTTCCCAAAGATAAGAGTTCTAAGAACACAGGACATGGAAAAAATTAGTTCTAAAAAACAAGATTTTTTTTGCCATATAACTGCAGTTATTATATAGGTTTAGGTGCAATGCTGTCTTCAATGCATATGTCCTGACAGTTCATTCCGTACCATTTGGCCTGCCAGTGGAAAACCTTCTTATGAAAAAGGGTCATCACTTAAATATATTAAATCATAATCCTTTGTTCTTTATTGAAAACATGACTCTTCCCCCACAATTTTATGTGAAATGCAAAATTCCTACTTACAGTGAAAATAGTTTTAATTGAACACTGCATTATTTAATTTGTATCTATGTATTGGCTTCTTAACCTTTACAGAGTCACAAATCCAGTAATAAGATATACACAGATAAATTTGTACCGTGAATCTTTAGTGCATAAACCTAAGGTTTATGTTTACTAACTGTCCTGGGTTCAGCTACAGCAGTCATTTTTTCTCCTTCTTAGTAGCTGGTGCAGTGCTGTGTTTCTTGACTTTCAGCCTGGGAACAACGCTAACACCGATGGTTTTAGTTGTTGCTCAGTAATGTTTACTCTGACCAAGGACTTTCTCAGTCTCATGCTCTGCCAGAGAGGAGGGGAAGCCAGGAGGAAGCAGAGACAGGACACCTGACCCAAACTGGCCAAAGGGCTATTCCATACCACAGCACGTCATGCCCAGTATAGAAACTGGGGAGAGTTACCCGGAAGGCCCAGATCGCTGCTCGGGTCGGGCTGGGTATCGGTCGGCGGGTGGTGAGCAGTTGTGTCCTCTCCCCTTGTTATTTCTCTTATCAGTATTATTGGTAGCAGTAGTGGTTTGTATTATACCTTAGTTACTGGAGTGCTGTTATCTCAACCCGTGGGAGTTACATTCCTCTGATTGTCCTCCCCATCCCTCCGGGAGCGGGGGGAGGAAGGAAGATGGGGGGGAGTGAGCGAGCGGCTGCGTGGTTCCAAGTTGCCGGCTGGGCTTAAACCATGACACTAACAGAATTAAGTGAATTTACTGAACAAAACTATCTTTGTCCTGTTCCCTTTATGTTGAGCTTTGTTTTCCCCTTCCATGTCATGAGTTGGTATCTTGTGTACCTCTAGCACAGGGCTCAGATGTCTTCCTAGCTTAAGAGAGCTACAAAGAGCTTGTCCCACTGAAGGGAGCAAAAGATCATGCAGCCACAGCCTCTGAGTGCAGTAGTGAGGAAAATACATCTCCATGGCATGACTGATGTCAGCTTGGAGACACGGGGAAGGAAGAGGCAGAACATTTCTTTACCTATTATTATTAGTGGATGAATAAGAGTAAAAGTTCTAGCCCAGAAAGAGTATTTTGTTTTGGAAAATGAGAAACAAAATCACAAAGGAAGGGGTACCCTTTCCTTTGGAATTTAGTATAACAGCTCAGCTCACCGTTGCAAATTCCATGTTTTTGTTGTGTCATATATGTTGTATCTCCAGATTGCCACCATTGTCCTTCAAGTCTGTCAGTTACAAGAAGGTCTTCTATCATCAGGATATATCGTCTTCCTTTAAGCAAGAAATGTAAATGGATACTTTTTTGAGAGAGACAAAGAGGCATATTATTAAAGAGTTAATACAGAAGATGATAACATTTCTGTCTCTTGTCCATGTTTGTACAATTTGACCATATGCCAGAAGGAACTAAGCTACTGAAATATTAGTACACTGTGAAGAAACGTAATGTGACTAAGGTGTGGCATACAGTGATGGTTTCAGTTCAGTTCAGTTGCCTTCTTGAAAGTTCAATAAAATTGTTTTATCATACTCTTTTTAGGAATCTCATTCACTTAGGTGGCTGACCATTTCTTTACATATGGCCATATGTGTTGTCCAAATTTCATATGTAGGTGCCTTCTCACATGGAATTTATCCCTACTGTTCATATTCTTATGGACTCTTTGGCATACTTGCATAGAATAATTACAGAATATATAGTGCAGTTCTATACTGAAATGAGAAAGAAGTTATTAACCAAATCTCTAAATTTTTTCTAGTTCTTTCTCATTTTCCTGCCTTTCTTTCTCCCCCTTTCTCCTTCCCCTCTTCTCCCTCCTGCCTTACTCTTCACTCCCTCTCCCCCGCTCCAGTTCATAGTCATATTCACTGTGTCCCTACAGAGATGCTTCAAGCTGCATATAAGCTAGGTCCAGACAGATCTAGCCACTGAACTGGCAATGTCTGCCAGCTGATGGTACAAAGTTGTCTCATTCTCTTATTTCTGCTTCTTTTACCTCAAGCGACAATACTTATGAAGGTTTTATACTCCCTTGTCTAATGTGTCAGACAAGTCCCAGAGAAAATTACAAAGGGCTTTCTGGTGATGATATTTGCTGCTATCTTCAAGTTTTGTGCTGTTTTACTAAATATTTAAAAAATTCATTGATTTCTTTTTTCTTTAAGCATCAATTATTTTGTATTAAGTTGAGCAAAATTGAACACTGGTTCAAATAAATCATTATAACAGATATGTGTTAGCTTTATTCAGCAGTTCTCTGTATTCCTTAAACATTTATGTGCTTTCCAATTATAGCAATATTTTACTTGTCACTGCGAAGTGTCAGGTTATTGCTTCAAAGGTAACCTCATTTTATATAATCAGATGGAGACTTAGCTGGAGTAATAAAGCATTGGAGATAGATTGGCTAAAATTCCAATTACTGTTTCCATAGTAATGACTAACAATTACTAATATAACAAAGATGTTAGTATTTTAGAAGTGTTTATATTTTATTTTACTTTCAATGATAAACACATCAGTTTCTTGGAAACAAAATGATAATAACACTATTGAGAGTTTGTATTTCCTTTTAAGGGAGGATGCCAAAGTCTGTCATTTAGTTTTAAAAATTGTATGGCCAAGTTTATAAATTCCTTAAAATATGCCTGAAAATAATCTGGTTTTAGGCAAATAGCACTGATCCCATTACAAGAAGTCAAGCTTGGCTATATACAACTTAGAGGGAACTACAGCAGGATATTCCTGAAAAAAAATGAAGGAAATAAGAGCATAATAGCAAGCAAAAATGCTGACCTCTTGTTGACTTTTAAATTTCATTGTTATGATGAGATAAGGAAGCTTATCATACAAACTAAGCTTTGCATCACTTTAAATCGAGGTGTAAAAAGTTGCAGTTAATCAGGTTCTTAGAAAATAAATGTCTTGACAGTCTTATTTTCATAACATACCATCTGGTATCTGGTATCACAAATATTATCTATGATAGATTAAATAACAGCTTCCATCTGCTTTTTGAAAGTGTTTTCCGTAGTTAGAAATAACCAGAGAGAAAAAAAAAAAAAAATTGAGGCACTTACTTACAAATTCAATTAAAAAAAAAATCTGTTTGCTTGCATAATTCTTCTAAAATTTTTGGGTTTTACTGATTCGTTTACTAACTTGTTTAACTGTCTACTTTTACTTTTAGGTTGGCATAGTACTACATTATTCTACACTCTCTACTATGCTATGGATTGGAGTAAATGCCAGGAATATTTATAAGCAAGTCACAAAAAAACCTCTGCCATGCCAAAACAGTGACCAACCTTCTTATCCAAAGCAACCACTACTCAGGTATGGAACGTTATCTTTTTCTTTTTTTAAAATGTATTCCTAAAACATATAACTTTTAAGCTTTCACTTTCATTTCTGTATTCTTTACTTTTTTCCATACTATAAATGGGATCCATAAGGAATTGAGTCACTTAGGTGTATCTGCAAATCTGAATATTTGTTGTATGGTAATAGTTAATTCTTGTCAGGAGATGCAAATATGCAGACCTGGTACTGGCTAGGTTCAGATATCTTAATCTAAGCAGGAGCAATTCAAATGTTTCTGTGGTTTCCTATGGAGAAAAAAATACTCCCTTGCTTCTGGGTTAAGGCATTATTTAATCATCAGAAACTACTCTACAATGATTCTCCCTTTATCTTAATCTATTCTGCTGTAACTCTTGCCCACGTTTGTATTGATATCCTAATAACCTGATAGCAACCTTCCTCATTCCACATCAGAGATCTAATGCTATTACAGGAGCGACTGAAAGTCTGGACTCCCTATCAGCTTTCTAGTTAGAGCGACTAATAAGCATGTCTCTGACAGCATGGCAAGTGTAATGTAATAAGAATTTTAACCAGATGCCTATGAGATGCTGAAACTTCAAGCCAAAATAGTCAGTCTGCATAGGAAAAAAAAAAAAAAAAAGAAGAATCCCAAACTTACCACAAACTAGAATTTCTAACCGAAGGCATGAGAAGATGGATTCATCTTTTTGATTGTAGCTATCAAAAAGTTACGTACTAGCCAAAGTTATATAGTGGCCCTGTATAGACTTTGGAGGGAGACTGAGACAGAGAGAAACTTCCAGAGAACAATTTCTCCCATCTGTTTTAGATGTTTGTGTGAGGACAAGATGAATTGTCTTATGGAGGTGCCTCTCTTTCCCCATAGATCATGGGAAAACCTGAATGGTAAATTCAGTCTAAAGACCTCAATTTTACAGTGATGGACAGGAAATATGAATTCTAATTTTTATGACTTTGCTGTAAAAAATCCAGATTAGTATGTTCTTTTAAACAGTCCTAGCTTATTTTATTTTGACCACAAAATGTTTATTAAGTATCGTTTCTAGATGGCTGTGTGAGGTTGTTGGAACTTCTTGAAAATCTATAGAAAGATGAATTGTGTTTTGCTGTCTGATTCTGCTGAGTGAAATCTTGATTAACTTGATTAGTTTTCTGCTTTTTATAACATTTTCTTTTTAGAGGTGAAATTGATAAAAGCTAAGGTAAAATTTATATAGTGAAAAGCTTTGTTAGGTGTAAGCAAGAGGATATACTTTCATTAAGAGTGCCTAACTCTGCTAATCCATGTTTTACTGTACCATTCTCCACAGATGAGAATTCCACTCTTTTGGTTTCTAGTTCATGGCAAAATTAATTACCAGTTTTCAAATGCTGCAGTGTGGCTGTTAAGGTAGAAAATTATTACAGGTTACATGGACCCAGTTAGTGTATGTTCTTAAAATTCTAATCTTTTTTGATTTGGAAAACAATAGACAATCAAGTTACAAAAACCATTAATTAGAATCTTCGTTGTAACAGTCATGATGAGGTTCTCAGGCAGTAAAAATAAACAGTAGATATTTTAAGTTTAGTAATAGAAATTATAAACATCCTTTTAGCTTTAAAAGAACGTGAGTATGGTCATTTAATAACTAAGTGAAATGATTCTAAGTTATTTTTCTAACTCAGGGCACCATATGTCCTAGAGACACAGGCACTGAAATGTCTAATATGATTTCATAAAGGTTAGTACTAGATTCAAAGTAATAAGGATCAATTTCATTTCATGTAGAAAATAAATAGGCATAGTATATGGAAAATTAAAAATTGCTTTAAACAAGAAAATGATGAACCCATAATTAGTAATTGTTCTTTTTAGAATGATGATAATAATTTTTCTGTGCCTTTCAATTTTCCTGGGTTTAATAAAATTTGAATCATAATTATTCTGCATCATAATATTTCCAGAAAATCCATTTAAGTTGTGTATATTTCAGTGTAGCCATTTATAAGAAATGTTTTAATTAGACAGCATTCTTATATCTATAAGCTGATGCCAGTCTTTATACATATTGTGCCTCAAGTTCAGAGGAGATAACATCACAGTTTGTCCAGGTCTGGTTTTGGGTGAAGGAGTATTAATTTTTGTCTTCATTTGACACTAGTACGTAGCTAAACAATATTAAATTTGTTAAAATGGAGACTAAATTAAGCTTTTTAATATGTCAGGACCATCAGTCCTAGGAAGCACATTTCTGCATATGGTCTCCAAGACACTTTTAAAAAAAGGTACTTTGTCAGTAATTCAGGTCTGTAGACCTAGTTTGACTTGTGTTCAGGTTTCATTCAACACAAATATATGAATGTGTTTGGCAAGAACTGTACACTTTGCTGTTCTCCTTTGGTCTTTTCCAGCACCAGATGTATATGATAGAGTGGGTTTCCAGTTCACATAGGAGTGTTTTTATATTCCGTCTATATGCACTCGGTGTATGAAACACAAGAATATCTTTTGTGAGTCAGTAAATGGCGACTACTGCCAAAAATTAATACACAAATCTATGACATGGAATTTACCATCAAATGATAAAAATTCATCGCATTTTTTTCATGGAGTTTGATCCACTCTGAAAAGTAGTCAAAACAGTGAAAATAAAACCCAAAATATCTTAAGGAAGACCTTACCTGTTAGTAAAAAAGGACCTTTGCTTGTAACAGTTGATTCAATTTCTCTGCCTACTTGCATATTTATTTCTTTCTGTTCTAGGTACAGTGATCAAACAGTGTAATTTTACTGAAGCTTGCTCTTCATTCAAAATCATATTGCCTCTTTTTAATCATATATTATATGATACATTATATATGTTATAGATTATACACTAGATATATTTTATTATCTATATTATACATGATGTATGTATTTTGTGTTAATTATAGAGTTAAAGCTCTCAGGGCCTACCACTTTGATAACTGGAATCAACTATAACAATTCTGACATTTTTCAGTAGATGTGCCTGGATGCTAATGAGGTAGATCAAATTAATGCATCATTGAACTTAGTGTATTGAAATGCTGAACTCTAGCACTTAAACAGATAATGAAATTAATTCCTGTAGAATATACTCTCAGTTATTCTTAATAGAAATAAATAATTTTATCTGTTCATCCTCTGTGGACATTTGTTAAACCTGGCAGAGTTTGGCTTCTGACTCATCTGAAGTCAGATTCTGCCAGCCAGAACAAAGGGGCGTGCAAGATTCAACTATTACTTGCAATGTACAAAACTTTTCATCAGCCCAAGCTGAGGCACAGGTAGGATTAGTTTTATACCTGATACATGCATGAAGTTTTCATGTGATGCCCTGTGCACATACAGATTAGAGAGCAGTACAGAACAAGCAGAAAATATTTCTGGGAGATACTGTTAAAATTATTCCTTTCCAGAAAGATAGAAAAAAATAGACTTCTATGATTTTTAATAAGATAACTACTGAACACAATTGCACTATAAACATTTAAAATAAAAAATAGATAAGCTACAAGCTGGGCCAGACATTAGTGTTAAGAAGACAGATAATTAAGGTACCTTTCATCTCAGGATTACGTACAAATATATTTCCTAATTTCCTCCATCCTCTTTCAATGAACATCTTGCAAGGTAACTAATACGTGAAACTCAAGATTGCAGAGTCCAATGTCCAATATCCTGTATCTGTCATGAGCAAACAACAATATGCATAAATAAGATTGCAGAATGAACTGCAAAGTGAGTAACAGATGATGTCATTCTGTCTGCTGAACTTCGTCTTGTTTATTATGTAATATATCTCGATAAGCTTTTTAAAAGGTTCTTAGTAAAGCTGTAGGGCTTCTAGGAAGAGTACCTCATGCAGTGCCTCAGAAAAATTGTATATCTAGCTGTAATAGCAGTTTAGGAATGGATTTTGTGTCCTTCCCTTTGTATTCAATGTACTAGGCTTAGTGCTATGGCCATTAAAAATGAACATTGAGTATTTTGGGAAGATCATAACTCAGGCAAATTAAATCAACGGGACACTCTGAGCACCTACAGTCAATTAAGCCAGCTTCAATTTCATTCTCTTATCGTTTTCAACCTTGAATAATTTTAAAAGTATAATTTTTAGAATGAGAAAGCTGTTTGCATATTTCATATATTTTGAACTGTCTTATTTGATTTATGGAAACTGCCCTTTAACTTGCACACAGAGGAGACCTAGAAATAGTAGGTGAGAACCAAAGTGGTTTAGTTGAACCATAACACCTGCTAATGGATGTGTACATGCAATATATGTGTGCGTGTCTGCTATTCTATGTGAGCTTGTATATGGGCAAGTTTCTGAACATCGTCAATATACTTCCAGAATACCAAATCACCATTCTTGGATGTAGAAACGACAGGGGTCTTCCTTGTGGGCTATGTTTGTGATGTAGTGATAACAACCTACACCCTGATCATATGGATGTGCAAGATGATAGTGCTCCAGTTGCATCCTCCCTTTCTGTGAATGTGACAGCAGATCTTCACAGTCGTTCCCTGGCTCATTATTTCTATCAGCTACCTAAACATTAATTAGTAGCATCCAGCTAAACAGTAGCTAAGTATCTTTGTGACACTGAATTAGGTTAAATTTTTTCACTGTCAAAAGGAGAAACTATGCTAAACTTGCAAATCTAGGAAAACCCTCTCCTTCAGGTTTTGTCAACCAGTCCCATGATGAGCCTATTGCCTTGCAGTGAGGAGATTTTACAGACTTGCATTATACCAAAGGGGTTATGGCATCTGCTTAGTGCTTTGCTCACAGTGCTAACCCTGCTTGTCTCAGCATGATTATTTAGATGCTTGATCTGAATTCTGACAAGCTTGAAACCAACTCATGGGCACAACTGAATCTACTGCTATGTACTGCTGCACTTGCCTAACTGCAGATCCCAAGAGAGCCTGACTAGAAGTGTTGTGACTTCCATCGCAAATTGAGATGTGGCAATTT